CACATTTTATCTCAACACTCCGCGTACAAATATAATGAAAAAATCTCCAATGTGCTATACCTCTAATTCTGTTAGTAATGTCCAAGATATATTCAACTGTCAGATTATACAAATCAAAAGACATTTCTCAGCTATCTAACAGTTCTGTTTTCAATTTTTTTTATGTGGATTCACAAATGATCTTATGTAAGTACATATTTGTAAATGCCACTGTTACTTCCTATTCTGTAATTAGGTTCATCCTGTAGAATAGTGTATGAAATAAATAAATAAATACAACCTCGACTGTGGAAAAGTTTTCCTTTGAAATAATCAACAAGTTATTTAGGTTATTTTTTTAAATATAGACATTATGTCAGGTAATATAATAATCAAATAAATGAATCTATTGTAAATTACTTTATTGATAGAAATAATAAAAAACCCACAAAAATTTGAAATGTGCCAATAAAATGGTTCATTCATTTTCCTTAATAATTCCATTGTTGTTTGCGACAAACAAATAAGAGCTAACATTTGAAGGTTATGTACTTGTATTTCAATTATTGCTACTTGACACAAATACACCAGGTTGTTGAAGGAAATCAAATGTGTGTTCTTTTTCCACTTAAAACACATATATTTGATATAATAATAAGTTAAAAATGGGAAACCACTAATCACACGTCTCTAAGGACAAAATATGAAGTAAACATTCAAATACCTAATCAGTTTTTAAACAATGAACTCGGGTATCCAATTAATAACAATCGCAATATAAACGGTTCCGAAGCAGCCCAACCACTAACCATCAACTCGCAAACAACAAAACCGCATCTTAATGTGAGAATAATTGCAATAGCTGATATATGCAATGATTCGGCAAACGCAAAAGGCGTTATATTATGTTTAGTGCGGTTGTAAAGCAACGATTAAACTAATAGACTTGGAATTTACATCTGTTGGCAGCCATAAGCACGGTAATAACAATATAACCGCCATGGTATATAGACTACTTGTTGAGTAGAATTTATGAAGCAAGGATGTGTTCGGGTGGCGATCGTGCGCTCCCGTCGACCGTCGGGGCTATTAAATACGCATTCCGGTGATAAATTGTGAGGCGGCGAGATTTGATAGTGCTGTAAATTATTTAACCCTTTTCATAGGGTAATTATTATTAGGTTATACGACCATATAACGCTGTGTACTGCCGATTTCGTTGTCTCAATTAGTTCTAAGCAATATCTCAATTATTTCAGGCGATAATTTGGGTTTTTAACGTTCCAGAGTCTGAATAAGTAAAACAAAATGGTTACAGACACCATATCAATGAATTGAGATCTCTTCTCACACGGGCAAATAGAATTCCAATTGGAAGGGGTATATTTCTAGAAGAAATTAGTTTTTCGAAAAGAACAGTTTTGACTTTCTACTTCTCCATATTTATATAAAAAAAAATGTGGGAACCGTTCACAAAAAAAATGAAGAAAACAATTAATTTTTAAATAAACTCTTAACAAAGATGTTTATATCATGTAAGGGAGCAATTTTCAAAAATAATTCCCAAGAAACTGGGAAAAAAAGCCATCTCTAAACAACTACTTTCATATCAACATTGGTGCTGACACTGAGCGTTCCATGTAAGTGAAATGTTACCCCTTCCTCATACTATATTGTTTAGCAATCCTGGGAATGATATCTGATTCAATTCAATTCTATAAGGAACGTTTGAAGTAAAAATTGAATAGGGAAGTTTTTGAAAGTATTTTTTCTTCCGTATAAGTCAATATTTATATGATAGTAGTTGTTTCGAGAGGTCTTTTTTCCAGTTTGTGTCTAAAAGTAACTTCTTTGAATGATCTACATATCTTTTTAAAGAGTTTATTTTGGAATCCAGTGTTTTTTTTCTTTCTTTGGCGGATTCCCACATGTTTTTGTGAAAAGACTGAAAAGTAGAAAGCCAAAATCGATGTTTCCCAAATATATTGTTCATTTTTCACAAGATTTCAAACAATTTTCATAGGAAAAAATGCTTTTCAAACCAGTTATACATTATACCTTTTTAAGACTGCATTATTTTGATACTTTGTGTTTCATAAAACTAAATTGTTTATATAACGTTCAATCGAAATTATACGGTATTTCAAAATTTCCTTTTTAGTTTTCAGTAACCCTTACCCATCAACATTTGAAAAAAATGAATACCAACTAATTGTATACATTGCAATGAATAAATAAAGATATAGTTGATAAATACAAAAAAGTAGGTAGTTGTCAAAACCTAGTTCTGAAAATTGTCAGGTTCCATTCCGTCACATTTTCTTCATCGGAATTACCAGCGTCGGACAAGAACTTCTCGACCGACGCTGTATTACGAATGTTAGAAAAATCTTTCTCGGTTTTTACGTTGGTTAGCGTAAAAACAGATTCTAAAAGAACAGAATAGTTGTAGCTGCCTTATCAATGTAAATCCTTTAAAATTTTTTTTTTGATAACACTAGTTGATACTATAAATAAATCAAATCAAATTTCCTTCATCTACCGGAATATATGCGGGTTTATGTTGAAGGTAAAAAAACGAACTTCAGTTGATTAACAACTGGTAATTCAGTGATTTGGTTTGCCAGATATAAATAACCTAAACCTAATCTTCTTACTCTAAAGGATACCATTATTATTGCAACAATTATTTTGAATGGTATACTCACTGGTCAGAAACATACACTCTATGTCACTTTATTGGCGTTTTTTCATTCATTTTAACAGCCCAATCTAGATACTTATACACACTTATTTTTGTTTTACCTACACTGACCGAACCAAGCGATGCTAAGTAAAATGTTCAACTGACAAAACCGACATTCTTACTGAATATTACCCAAATCTCTACAATACCTTCATAAAACTGTAGGTGTCCTTTTATTGCCAGCCCTATTCAACATCGAAAACGGTTGTAGGTTTTTGGCCAGAATATTTTTATCTTCCTCAACGTTATTAATATCTTCTTACCGGCCATCACTCATGTTGTATTTTTCAGCGGAAATATTGAATTACTGCGTTGAAAGAAATAAATGAGGCTATTAATTTCCTCATTTGAAAATACAGCTAAAAGCCATCGTTCCAAACGCAACGGACCCCCAAGAGAGGGGACAGTTGTCTCTCAGATTGAGATATCCAGTTCAGTTATGCAAACAACCGCAATTTCAAAGAAGTATCATAAATTTCGGAGGGATAATAAATGTCAACTTCTTGAAACTACAAGGTCGGTAGCCAAATCTCTAGATCACCTTTCCGTAAATGTTTTTATTATTGTGCAACGTTGAATTCCTGTAGTTTGCTTTGGAACTTGTTTCTTTGTACATTTCAGACCTTTCTCTTTTGTGACCGGTCAAGAGATATAATTCCTTTTGAACACTGTATCAAAAGTTTTATTAAAAATAGTACGTGTGACAATTTCGTAAGACAAAACGAAAACTTGGAAAATATACCTGAGAAGACGCATAGTAATAAAACGGACAACGATCTCCCTTTCAAAGATTTTGGTCGTACTGCATAATAACCAGAAAAAATCAACCAAACAATAATCAAATTTGCACTTAATCACACTCTACTGATGGTGGCTAGAAGTTTATTTTTAACACTGATCTGTCAAATATCTCGTCAAATGTATCGTCCGCGGTCAAACAAAAGTTCTGTTATCACATATATTGAATGCCTTATTCGTTAATGCTGTTGACATTGGTGGGATAGATGGTTGGATAAAGCAGAATAGCCTTCTACCATTTATTGCGAATCATTACGTTCAGTGAATCTACAGTGTCATCAATATTGGTAATGAACCTGACGCAATAACTTGTATACATCATCCATAAATAATATGATAGCAAAATTACTAATTATATATGGAACTGGTTCCAAAATCAAATTGCCTCTATTTGTAAGTATTAGTTTTTTTCTAATCCAGCTTTGCCAGTGTTACATTCATTTTGCATCATTCTTCTACCTAAAATAACTTCCAGATTTGTATGAAAATCGTGTGGCATTAGGCTGCCTTTCTACCAGAAGATTTACCAATATCGTTCTAAATATATTATTTCCAGATATTCTTACTGTTGACGATTCTGCCACATTCATAAAAAAATCCCTTCTTCTCTATTAAACAGTTCATTCCAGTCATTGCTAGTTAACGACAGAATTGCACATACACATCCAGACTGACGTTTCAAAATCAAACAAAGGGGCCCCAGTTAGAGTGGGATTTGAACTTTTCACGATTTACAGCATCCGTAGAGAAGAACTGTAATTTGCCATGAGGTGAAATATCTTCTCTAATATCCAGAAAGCTTTGACTACATCGGATTCCTCATCAAGTTGTCATCCAATGAAAAAAAGCTTCCAAAATAATAAAGTTGTAGTTGGTTTCGTCATTGGTTGACATCTTGGCAGGAAGTCAACAGAATTTCACGACAAACCAAATATCTTGAATAAGTTGGAGTAGTTTTTGCAGTTTTTGGGTATTTTACCTTGCATAATCTGAAAATGAACGATTTTACTTTTCATAGTGCTTTATTTCACGCGGTAACTTCTAGGGGTGGACTTTTCAATCAACCCTCTATTACACTTTGGCAGATTCTCCATTCTTCAGGTTGTGAATATCCCAAAAATACCAAGATCTCTTGTTCTTCCTCTTGAAGATGATCACTTGGTGATCAAAACACGTGTCGAGGTTTTAAAATAACGGTTTGGTGCCACTGTTTGGAACCAAAGGTTCCAAACAGTACATCACAAGTAAACATTGACTTCTCCATAAGTTGGAATATCTTTGAGCGAATACAATCTGAATGGTGAAGTTTGGAATCAAAATTAGGAGAAACCGAAGATTACATGGAACCATTTCCCGATAATGGAAAAATCTGACTCTGGTGTGTAAAATGAGTATGTCAGAGGCAAACATATATATCTTTCAGTGTGAGATTAAATCGGGCATGGATTCTAAGAAGTAAAAATTCAGACAAACTTACCGAACTGACTCCTCATCCAGGGATAAAGCGGACTAGGTAACGCAGAGGCGTTATTATTATTAGGAGGCTGCTGTCCAGGTTGCGGCTGTTGCTGCAGGGGCGGCGGTTGCTGATGAGGGGCCTGATGAAGGTTGGCATTGGGTTGTCCTGCGTACATCATATGCTGCTGTTGCGGGTGGTGAGGTTGATGCGGCTGCTGATGATGCTGCGGAAGCTGTTCCTGCATATGATGTCCCATATGGTGCGAATTTAGACTTTGGGCACTATCCAGGGGCGGACTTCCGGTGGGGCCCAACACGCCGTTCTGCGTGGGACCTTGTAACTTACAACTAGGATACACCACACCTACGGGGGTTTGCTGGTTATTGGGGACCCCATTGCCCGCCGCCATTTGCATGTTGGTGGGGCTGCCGGGCCGGTACTCGTCCATCTGCTGCGCGTTGTAGTAAGCCGCGTTTCTGATGTCCATTCTGTCGTAGGGGGGAAATCTGGGGTAAGGCATGCCCTGGGGCGGCTGCCCCGCCGCCGGAGGACCGCCGTAGTGATGCGGGGGGATGCCCTGGCGCAGACCCACCACGGACGGGTCGCCAGAGCAAGAGCTAGGATCCGGCTGTCCTTGGGGCACCTGCACGGCAGCTCCATAGTGCTGGTGCTGATGCTCTGCAGACACTACCCCACCATTCCTCATGTCCGGCATGTAATTGGCAAAGTACGAACTCATTATAAATTATTATTGATCACAGCTAGTATTGGTACACTGAGTTTGGTTGCACAGAATCACATTAAAATCACTGCAGCGGCATTTTTTGAACTCCACTGATATTTGCACTTGACTCACTTCTTTTACGCACTTTCTAGCTTGTCCACGCCGTCGGGGTCCAGCTCCTCATCCAACATAAAAAAGTAGTCTCATATGACCCTGCAACAAAACAAAACATGTCACCATCGTTATCAACTAATTAAAGGCTATCTCGATGAGGGGCCGATCTGGTCGAATGGGGTCACATTTCGCGCGGTGTTTGCCCATGGTTGGCGTCAACAATGCTATCCGGAGCTCAAGTAGCAAATGAGTACGTTTGAGTTTCAGTTTTAGTCCGACGAAATGAATGACACATGTAAAATGAGACAGTTTCGTCATTAGGTTTCACGCATCATATACACATGTGGTTGTGGAATGCAATTATTGCCTCTAGTTAGCCATGGTGCTCTCCGAAATATGGCAGAATGCCGCGGTGACCTTAGGATGAAAAAAGCTGTAAGAGTTGCAATGAAGTATTATAAAAGTGATCTAGGAGTTATGGTGACTGGAGTATTGAATGGATGTCAAGAACAATGAAAGTAATAGGTAGTAGATTCGTTCTAATTAAATGTGAATTGGATATTTCATTTTTCCTGATTTTATAAGATTTCGTCATATAATTAATATACTGGGCGGCAGCAAAATTTTGCATGTCGAGATTTTCTTTCGCTGAAATATATCTACTTACTGATTTATTTATAAAATACAGTATTCCCAATTTTTGTTGAAATAAGTATAAAAAAGTTAAACTGAGATGATGAATATCAACCGGCAAAGAGTTACGTAAACTCTTAATTTTGATGTGAAGATTGTTCTTAAGAAAAATTTCATTAATTTGAACTATCTGCTTTCCAGACAGTTTATGCAATTATATAAGTATACACCAATTTCTACCATGCTATCTGCTCTACAATGGCTCTCAGTATCCAAAAGATTATTCTACTATTCCATGGTTTCCATTTATAAAATATTAAATAAAATGACCCCACCATACTTGCTATCATTAATAACTTTCAATAAGGACATTCATCACCATTCTACTAGGCACAACAGTCACATTCATATAAATAGAACAAATACAAGAAATAGTATGAGCAGTTTATTTTTTAAAAGTTTTGTCCAATTCAATGATTTACCTGATTCAATTAAATCTACTCTTTCATTAAAGATTTTCAAGAGCGAACTATTAAAATATATTATCCATAATGGACATTGAAAAATTCCTTTTTGTTCAGTTCAAATTATGTATGTATATAAAGTTGTATTATTTATATAAATTGTTGATTATATTATATTTTAAGTTAGCTAACCTGTATATTAGGGAATCCTAATTCAATAAATAAATTCAAAAATTTATATCCCATATCACAATCATTGTCAACCTCGATTATATTCCCAGGACTACAAATTATTCTATCATCTATCTTTAGTAATTTGGGTTAAGGTTTGGACGTGTCTATAAAATGTAAAATTTTCTTGAGACAAATAAAGACGAAATGAAATGAAATTTAATTTGTTGACTGTTGATACAAATAACCTTTGTTTTATCTGTTTTGATAAATACAATCCCGAGGCTGGACAGAAATGCTCACCTCAATATATGGCGGTGACTGGGGATGAACAGAAATGTCCATCCCAATCCACCGCTCGGAATGAGGCTGAACATGGCAGGTCACCTCGTGATATATGACAAAGGCCAAGGCGTAAGCGTATTTGCGGCGCCGAGGCCAAAAAGAGATAAAGAGCGAACGATGCAGGAGTGGCAGCAACTATAAGTGCATCCTCCTCCTCCCCCACTCCACCTCCAACAGCAAGGGCACTTTCTGCGACGGGCGCCAAGAGCTCCGCCTTGAATAAAGGCAAGAAACCGGCGCCCCTGCAGCGCCCTTACTTGAGCACCTCCATGGAGGAAACCCCAAGATGGTTGAAGAAGCTGCGCAACAACAATAATGTCGCTGCACCTTCCAAAACCTTCACGAAGGTCGCCGTGAGGCACCTCAAGATTGCCAAAGAGAGTGTGTGTTCGGCGAGTCTTGGCCTTCACCTGCCGATATAAAGGAGATGTCTCCTAGTGACCTGTCCATCTTCCTGGAAAGGACAGAATGGACGATGACCTAGGAGGCCAACTCCTCGGGAGGATGTACAATGGGTCACATAAAATCTGAAAATTTTTGCCATTACTTTTCTTCCTCATTCGATATGGCATGACATTATTTGATTGATAACAATGAATTATAATTTAAGTAACATTTGTGCAATACTTCTTACTTGGATACTGTTTTTTGGATAGACTCAATTATCTAGAGAATAATGATAATTAAAAGTGAATTCTGAAAACTTCAGGTAAGAGAGAAGAGTTTAGAGTAGGTAAGAGAGAAGAGTTTAGAGTAGATATGGTATTTTGAACACAATAAGTACATTTATTTGTGATTTTTTTAAAAATAGGGCTGATTCTTATGAAAAATATTTGACTGCAATTATTTTCATCATATGTACGTTAATCATTAATTAAATTAAGTAACTTCTAAGATGAACACTATGACTATTCTTGACTTAATATTTGTATATTTGTTTTTCTGTCAACCAGCTGTCGCCCCTTCAAGAACGACAACCCTCAGAAGTCAAAACTCGTTCGAGTTGAGGATTAACGAGGTTTTACCTTTTAACTTGAGATTCCCAGCAGTGATAACGTCCAATTAAGCTTGGTCAATGAAATATGTTGTTCTGTTTTTAGTTTAGGCTACACGAATTTCTCTTGAAAAAAACTATTACTACTTCTTTGGATCTTGTTGGTCCTACTTGATTTCTCTATCTCCTAAGTGACAATAGTTACTTTCGAAGAGAAGGTTCCTTTCAAACCTGAAGGTTTGAAATGGCCGAGTCGTCATAAACATAAAGTACTGCCTTTTACATATTTTGAAAGTAGTAGCTATTGGAGCTACTACTCCATAAAAAAAGAAAACTCGAGGAAAGAGTCCCGACTAGAATAGAAAACAAAACGATAATTCTTTCAAACTTTGTTCAGGATCACCAATTCAGGAAAATTATTATTTATTTTTCAATCGATATTTCGACAATTTCTGTATTTTATAGATAGATAGGATATAGAAGATTAGAATTTATATAAATTCTGATGAAATATATACATGCATTATTTTCCATTAGTGATATTTATGGAAAGTTTCTAGCAATGAGAGTGTGCAAAATTGTCTGAAGTATGTAATTTACTAAATACCGTACCATTAATGGTGAAACTGTGTTTTCTATTCATAAGTAGGTGAGAATAAGCTTCCCTGAAATCAGTTTTATAACTATTTCAAAATTCATTAGTTTTTGTCAAAGTTCTGCGTCCATTAATTAATTTCCGTATTTCACTTTCCTTGCCCAGGTTCTTTCCGTTGATATTTTCAAAATTCTCATAATGTATCTGTCTCTGCTGGAATTTGAATTATATGGGGGAATTGCTATACAGTTCTATATGCATTGGATACTAACTTCAACCCTACAGAAGAAGGGAAAATGATACTAAGAAGACTTTCAAACATGAAGGTCATTTGGTTTGATAGAAATTACCCTTCCGTTGAAGGTAATTGTACGGATACTATGTTGCCAACACTGCCATGTTTTGCTGGGACCCCAGTTGAAATTGTGTTGTTTGTTATTAATAATACTCGTCAGAGAAAAGCCTTATTTCTGGGACCATTTATTTATTTCTTCTAGCTTCACTGCTTCAATTATTCATAAACACAAGTCCTCTTTGACACGGAGAGCTTCACGTCTCTCGCTCCCGAAAGAAAGGGAAGCTCTTAGCGCTAAAATGCAACGTGTCCAGTAGAGTTTCTAAACGAAGAGCGGGGGTCACAACGTCTCAGGAGACGAGAGCTCTCACGTCTTCTTCACTTCGAGCCGGAGAGCCACGTCCCCTCCTCAAAATGCAAAAGTTCCCTAGTCAACATGGCAAATTATGTGAAGCTATCTGTTGCTGTCTGCGACCGAATCGCTCTTTGGGATGAAAGTCACGACATGTATAAGGACAGAAATGAAGTCGTAAAAAGTTTGTTGAAATTCTGCAAAGTACTCAACGTAGATTTCACGAACAGAAAAATTATAGAAGACGACTTTCGAAAATAATTGAAGAACTTTTTTTCATCCCGTCTAAGTTCTTGGTAAAGCGTGAGAAAAACTCCTGCTTCATCGCGTTTTTGGTTGATTGGATATATCCAAAACATTCTTGATTGTTGGTTTTTCTGTCAACGGTAGAGAAGCAGCGGTAGATAGGATTGATAAACAAACCCTTCCTTAAAGGAGCTCTTCTTCGTGTGAAAGAGGCCTAAGAATTGGTGGATCAGGGTACTAAATCATTAAAGTTTACGTTTCACAGCTTCCGAAGCAAATGCAAGATAAAATTGTAGGTGTGCGTTTTATACACTTACAAAGACACTTCTGATATCTCGAAATTAATCAGACCTGTCCAGATAGCCAAACAAATGGAACAAGATTCAATTCCTCAGCAACACATATCAGTCACATTAAATGTGCCATTATGACATCCGAGATGTTGCAGGTATTGATAATGGTCCCAATTAAAATACTCGCAGCCACAGCTCATTAAATGAAGTCGAGCAAAAAATTTGAGGTAGCGTTTCAAAAAGGTGAGTATTCAAACAATGCAAGGGCTAGTTAATTACAATACGGAAATTGCGTTACAGTATCCAATTACTCCGAAGTTAATTGATTTAATTTGTTACAATTAAATTGGCGGGTCGTAGAAAATGCGGTTGATATTGTGAGGCTATAAAAAGCAGGCAATTAGTTTTTCATGCGGTTACTAAAGCGTAAACGGATAAACTAGTTACACCTCTGGGCATATTAATTCATGAGTTATGAATAGTAATGTCGAAGAGGATGATATGATTGATGTTTTGAATATATGATGCTGGTATTCAAAAAACATAAAAGCGTATTGTGCAACAGCGATAGTTCACTCTATTGAATTTCTAAAACAAAAAGTAAGTGAACAATCATCTGATAATAATCGTTTTTCAAATACACAATAAAATAGTTTCATTACCTAATTCCTTTATCTTAGTCTTCATTTTTATTGGTTAAAATATTGCGAT